TGCTGAAATCAATGGAATTCCAGTGGTCACAAGTTCCAGCATATGAATTAAAACAGAGGATCAGCACCTTGTATTTAAATAAATAAAATTAAAAAAAACCCAACAAGACACTTTGCTACAGGTTAAACACTTGCTGCAAATAAACAGTGCAATTTATACTATTCCAAAGTTCAGGACCTTTCTATGAAGTTGTATAAAAATGTCAAAACCAGGATTAGTGAGGAGACACATTTGTGTAACTTGATCCTTTCAAGCTTCATTAAGAAAAAGTTAATCATCACAGCATTTGAAAGGTTAGATTCTTAGGTCAGAAAGCACTAATTTCCAGACTCTCCACAGTATTAAAGGTAGTGTTGGAAGGGAGCTTATCGGAATGATAAAAAGATTTTAGTATCTATTATTCTGAATCCTGGAACAACTAAATGAAAAATTCAGATTTCAAATGAAAACAATGGATAGTTACTATCATTGCTAGCAAACTAAACTGCTTCTAAATCAGAAACAAAAAAAGCATTTCCTAAAATAATATTTATTGTAGGACTAGTAAGGTATTAGTTTTAGAATTTTTAAGCATCTTAAAACACATACCAGATCTGTGTCTGCAAAAAACATACTAGATCTGTGTCTGCAGTTAATTAGCAGACAATATATAGCACTGAAGTTTTAGTATATTTTTTGCATGTGAAGGGAATTTTTTTCTCCTTCAAAAAATCTTTTCTACTCTCAGTTTCAAACAATTAAAAGAAAATAAATTCAAAATATCATAGAAAGAACTGTTAGTGGTCAGTACTGGTCAGTATCTAGTAATCTGCAAAAGTCTGTAACACATACTGAACAGAATGGAAGTAAACTAGAAGTCTTTCAGCAGTTCTTTGGAACAAAATTTTTCAAATACCTTTTTTTTTTTTTCTTTTAACAAAACACACTAGTATTGCATCACATAACTCTTCAGTGTTTTTACCACAGGCCACTCACATGTCAATAACTCCCTCTGTGCAAAGCATTAAAAACAGTAGATGTAAATTATTCCACACACTACAGACATGCAGCCTGCAAGAAGCTATTAGGATAAAATAGAAACATAAATATAAGAATATAGGAGGTCAGGTAACTACGCCAAATTTTTGTTCTCCTTTGGTCATGTGGAGTTCTCCCACGCAGATGTTCTGGAAGGTCAACATGCAAGTTATGAAGTTAAAAACAAGAACCCAAAGTCCTAATATTTTCCCTGAATACTCTTGAACTACAATATCCAGTAAGACAGAAATGCCTATATTGTCATCATATTTTCACTCTTCAAAATTCAAATTCAGTAGTAATGCATATACATTCAAGAAATATAATAATTTAAATATACTTAAAATAAAGACATTTAAGAATGGATTTTTCAGCTCCCAATTTCTTTCTCAATGTGGTCATTGCATGAGGATACAACTGGAGCAGCAACAGCTCACATAAGCCACTGCTCTTGTTCTTTTCTGTACTTCTCAGACCACTTCTGAGTAAGCTCTAGGTAAATATTTGGTTTATGAGGCTTATAGTCAAGGTAAACCATCTGTCCAGTCCGTTTGGGGATAGCTTTTTCAATCTGAGTTCCCTCATGCCATTCATTAAAAGATGTAATAGAAATAATTTCTGGTCTCACTAGAAGGGCTGCACTGAAGGCAGTCTCATAGTACTTCCCGTTGACACGATTACGGGTGTTGTGGTTGTTCCATGGTCTGATACTGGTATCAATATATCCTGGCCCCACACTTGGAATAAACATTAAGTTGTTACTATCACAAAAGGCTTTTAAACTTGCCCAGTTATGATGGGATGAGCCATAGGAGAAGCCATTGGTGGCAAAGTACGTGTACATTCCATCAAAGCCACTTCTGTGAATGTCATGCTTGTGTCTTTCTTCTACAAGAAGTGCAATGAATAATGCATCATACGGAGTATTTCGGATAGTCTGGGATCCAGACACAGTCAACAGATTTGCCCATATTTCAGGAAGTGTTACGTAAGAATCGTAAACATAAAACATAGGAAGGTATCTGCCTGTGCTGGTTTTATGTCTGTAAAAGGCCGGGTGGCCTCCATATCTATAAAACAAACAAGGATCATTAAGACAAAATTTGCCATTTGGAAAATACTAATCTATAAAGACAGTGCATGTGCTTCAAAACATAGCAATTCCTATTCATTTTCAGTCCAGTGTTTGCTAATAATGAATCTGCAAATTACTACAAATTAGTAACTTACTGTCAAACTGCACTATTAGTTTTCTTAGAAGGGGAATTCTCCAATATGAAATCAGACAGTCTAAGCAGCATTGACAAACAAAAAAAACTAGCTGCTGTACAGAATTAGACAAGCTGAATTAACATAATTAGAGGTCAACACATTAAAGCTCTAGCTGCTAATTTGTTTCTATAAAAATGTATCTTTAATTTATAAACTAAGTAGCTATACATTAACTGCTTTAACCTGAAGCATTATGACTTGTGATACTAATGAACATTGAAAGCAATTAACATTTGAGTATCTATGTAAAATTCACCCTTCAATATTTAAAAAACAGCCAGAGTTCTGTATCACTGAAATATGAACAAAGTTTCTTACCATTTTCTTTGATCTCAGTACACATTTCTATATATTTTTCCAAGCTTTAAATAATACACAGAAGTCTCCGAAACCAGTGTATATCAAACCCCAAAGGAACCCATTCTGAAATCACTCACCTGTCAATGATGTATTTGACATTGTGGTACATACTGCGATCATCTCTGTCTTTGTAAGGTTCAATATGAAAAGTGACCTGAAAGATGAAAAGGTAAAATGCTACTGAATACACAGGCCTCATGTGTTATACGAAGCAAGTACCAGTCACAGTAAATAAAGCTCCTTACAGAACTAACATTTCCATTTGTCTATATTGAGAAAAATCCAACTCTAATTCAATTCCTGCACTGCTAAGATTAGGAGCTTCAGATCCAAGGAAGTCTGATAATAGAGTATACGTTTAGTTTTTTACATTGAAACAAAATACTAGTTTTGTTTTCCCCAGGCTACAGTGAGTAGCAAGTATGCTTCAGAAAACTTTAAAAACTACAGAAGCTAAAAGTTGAAATAAAATATTGCCTACATGACTGTCAAAGAACTGATTAACCAATAAAACTCTTTAATATTGAATTTCTAAACAATGTATTTAATTTGTTATAGATGATTCTCCAAGGAGAGTTTTCGGTGTCAAGACTTTAAGATACGGGATATGAAAAGTTTAATTTAAAATTTTATAGATTTATCAACAGCAATAAACTCTTGGAACTAACTCTATAATCTAATGTACCATTACTGCTCTGAATTTCAAGCTTGAAGGTAGTGGAGTTATTTAACCTATACATCTAAAATAGTTTCAAGGTAAAAATGCTACTCTTCAAATATTCAGTTAAATGGAAGAGTATATTACATTAATAAAAAACACTCATTTTTCAGAAGCAATTCTAGAGCAGAATGCACTTAATAAAGTCTCCAACAACTCTGCAACAGTAGCAAATTTCCATTGTAGAGTCAATATCCGTATCTATTAGGTACAAAATACAGAAAAATACAGTGTTAGACTAAATCACTAGGACTGACAGGACAGGCTAAAGAGCACTAAAATTTAATTTCCAACTATCAAAGCCAGTCGAATCAGAAGGATGCATATTTTAGCAGACTTTTATTAAGCAGACATAATAGAAAAGTATTTTCTATGTTGGTTTTAGTCAACTGACATTCCTAATGCTTAACCGTATTAAGTTACTAGTGCAAGAATGTCTAAAAACAGGACAGTGAAGGTAGCATTCCCTGGTAGTATCTATACTTAATGTCTGTATTCTGGTAATTATACCAAGCAATAACAACAGTTCCATCCATATCCCAATCATTACCATACTACTATATGCATTTTCCTCAGTTCCTTTAAGAGACTTGAATGTGAACAAGTTCTTCTAGTTGGCAATAAAAGCCATCACATGATCTGTAAGTTTTGGGGAAAGATAATAGTTTTCCTTTTTAATAATTTACTATTATGTGTGTGCAACTTACGTCACATAATGCAATTCCCACAGCATTTTTCACAGTTTCAAAATTAATTCTGTATCTCAATTAACCTTCCTACTTTCCTCCTGCTTGTCAAACAATCTACAGTTGCTATTAGTGACAGGAATTTTTCCAAGAATCTGCAACTTTCAGGAGCAATTAAAACAAGAGCAGATGAACAGGTTGTATTTTTGGCCTCTGTGTAGACAACACCCTCCAGAGGTGAAACATATACAGATATTCAGATAGTTTAAAAACTCAAATTTATTACTTGGCAAGACGAGAAGGCAATGCATGTTTTCTTTATCCAAAGGGAAAACATAAGTTTTGTTCTAAAAATAAACAAAATCAAGGCATGATTTTAGATTCTACTGATCAATCCATGTAATTTTTAATTTATTTGATATTTCACCTATTTCAGGAAGCCAGTAGTTTAGCCTTTCTATCCAGCAACTTAGTCAGAGCAGCACCTCTCTGACCTTATTGTCCAAGGGTTCACGATACCTTCTCGAATAAAAATATTTATACAAACTAGAACTTCTGAACCTTTAGCAGTCATAAATGCTTGCTCCTGACCTCTGTGATAAGATGCCAGGCAAGTTATGTGATAATGCAAAAAGTAAGGCTAGTTTTTATTCTTTCTAAAAGTTCCTTAGTTTACATATTGTATTCCATAGTACTTTGAAATATGTAATGCCTCCTTGAACTCCTTAGACTCATCTGAAAACAACATATTGTTTCCTAAAAAGAAAAAAACAAGTGCCCAACACCATAAACTTAATTATGTGAGCTTTAGATTTGAACCAAATCAGAGAAAATGCAGATTATATTTATTCTAGTTATAAGACAATATTTCTTAGGTTTTATCAAAATGTAGTGTAATTCCAAGGGCACTTATACCTGTTTCTAGGACGTAAAAGAAGGGCAGTGTAACAGGAGACAGAAAGAGAGGCCCTCCTAATATGACAATCCTCTCTGCTGTACATCATGAGTCAAATGGTGTAGAGTTTCCTATGTAGTCCTAGTTTATGCATCAAAAAAATACTTTACCTTTAGATTATATTTGTGTGCATAATCCAAAATAACAGGCACCAAATCATCAGTTGGTTCTCCATTTTCATCAGCCATACCCGGTGGGTACCATGAAAGCACTATTACACCTAAAACCACAAAACTTAAGTTTTAAATCGTATTAACATAGAACTTGTAAGCTATAACTTTGTAATGAGTTACAAATATTGTTTGATGAGAAATGTACATAATATAAATGAGAATTTCAAATTACTTTTTAACCAATTACAAACTCTCAGAATTCTCAGAGTGGATTTTAACTTATTTGTTTAAGAGACAACAAAGCAGTGGTAAGACCATCTGTCAAAAGAACAGATCTGTGCTCAGTGTCCCAAGCCTAACACTTAGAGCCATACCCTCCCACTTTTCAGCACACTGTCCTAGCATCCAGGTTGTACCAAGAGAGATGAGAGCTTTACATGCAATGAAAAGAGATTCTTACTTTATGAAGCTTAATTCCCCACCACATTTCTGTATTGTAACTCTGCTTCTACTACAAAACAACTATTTCATACTAGAAGCAGTGATTGTAATTCCATAACCTTCCTTCTTGCTAAAAGCAGTTACTATAGTGTAATCCCCACTTACATGCATGTGAAATTAGTTTTTTAATTCATTACCTAAAACAACACTTAAGGAACTCTCTGTAATTTAAGGATGCTATTATTCTTGTCAAAAAAGGTGACAACAGATACCATGTCTCTATAACTGTAAATTTACCTGATGCACCCCATGAATGCAAAATAATACATACCTCTTCAGCAAGCTAAACATTTTACTTCTAATTTAAAATGCTGTCAGATAAGTAAGTTAGACATGTTAGGTGTGTAGCTGGAAATAGTATCAGGTAGAAGGTAAGACAAAGAAATACAGGAAATACTGATGTAGAAATATTTTCCTAACAATACCATTTTAAATGACTGGAAGAATAAATCAATGTGATTTTTAAAAATTATGTAAAGATGTAAGTATACCAGTTGGGTCACTGAGATAGAGAAGTATATACTCTAAATTCCATCTGTTTTACTAACATTGTAACATTTCTGACTGACAGTTTCCAAACAAGTCCAAAATTATGAAAAAGAAAGCATAGAGAGAATACACAATCATCTTCTAACAGCTAAATCAGAAATTTCAGCTCACTATATATAGAATTGAGTTCAACTACCCTCAGAATATTCTCTCCTCATGTTAACAAAAAGACAACTACAAATAACAGACTGTGAAACAGTCTTCTCAAGGACAAGAAAAATGCACCATGTTACTGCATTTTATCACCTTATCTGTTATTTCACACAAAAGAAAAGCACTAATTTCAAGTAACTAAGATGTAAAGAACAAGTAGAACAGCAACAACAAACTCAGGCTACAGTCAAGGTGTGTTGAATACAACATCGGTCAAGACCCTCATAGAATCATAGAATCTTAGGGGCTGGAAGGGACCTCGAGAGATCATCTAGTCCAACCCCCCTGCCAGAGCAGGGTCACCTAGAGTACATCACACAGGAACTCATCCAGGTGGGTTTTGAATGTCTCCAGTGAGGGAGACTCCACAACCTCCCTGGGCAGTCTGTTCCAGGGCTCTGTCACTCTCACAGTAAAAAAATTTTTTCAGATATTCACCTTGAACCTCCTATGCTCCAATTTACACCCATTACCCCTTGTCCTATCACTGGTCATCACTGAGAAAAGCCTAACTCCGTCCCCCTGACACTCACCCCTTACATATTTGTAAACATTGCTGAGGTCACCCCTCAGTCTCCTTTTCTCCAAGCTAAAGAGACCCAGCTCCCTCAGCCTTTCCTCATAAGGGAGATGTTCCACTCCCTTAATCATCTCTGTGGCTCTGCGCTGGACTCTTTCAAGCAGTTCCCTGTCCTTCTTGAACTGAGGGGCCCAGAACTGGACACAATACTCCAGATGTGGCCTCACCAATGCAGAATAGAGGGGGAGGAGAACCTCTCTTGACCTACTAACCACACCCTTTCTAATGCACCCCAGGATGCCACTGGCCTTCTTGGCCACAAGGGCACATTGCTGGCTCATGGTCATCCTCCTGTCTACCAGGACCCCCAGGTCTCTTTCACCTACACTACTCTCCAGCAGGTCAGCCCCCAACCTGTACTGGGACATGGTGTTGTTCTTCCCCAAATGTAAAACTCTGCACTTCCCCTTGTTGAATTTCATCATGTTTCTCCCCGCCCAACTCTCCAGCCTATCTAAGTCTCTCTGAATGGCAGCACAGCCTTCTGGTGTGTCAGCCACTCCTCCCAGCTTAGTGTCATCAGCAAACTTGCTGAGGGTACATTCTATACCCTCATCCAGGTCGTTGATGAAGATGTTGAACAACACCGGTCCCAGTACCGACCCCTGTGGGACTCCACTAGTCACACACCTCCAACCAGATTCTGCCCCATTGACTACAACTCTCTGACTCCTTCCTTTCAACCAGTTCCTAATCCACCTCACTACCTGATCACCAAACCCATACCTGATCAACTTATCTACAAGGATGCTGTGGGAGACGGTGTCAAATGCTTTACTGAAATCAAGATAAACCACATCTACCGCTCTACCATCATCTATCCACCTAGTAATTTCCTCATAGAAGGCTATGAGGTTAGTCAAACATGATTTACCCTTGATAAAACCATGTTGACTGCTCTTGATGACCCCCATGTCCTTGATGTGCCCTCCTCTTACCTTTAGGAACAGGAAAAAAATTAGGAAACAGGAAAAAATTCAGGACACAGAATTGGTCATGAAGGAACCTAAATACATGTCTGCATTGGCCTTTCCCTGAGAAAGACTACTAAATGTTTTCTTTCTTGTGGTTAAAAAACAATGTTATTTACTACTTCAGGAGATTAAAAAAGGATGGACTTGATGCCAAAAACAATAGAATAAACATGTTCAAAACCAGAGTAGAAAGTTCAAGACAAATTGAGAACTTCAAACTAGACTGCTGCAAAAATAGACTGGTGCAAAAAATCAAATGTCACTGAGCAATCTGTGAAATACTATCTATTGTATTAATCTGTTAAAAATTAAGAAATTAATAAGTAAGGAAATAATTGTAAAATAGAAGAATAATACAAGGAAGCACTGCATGAGACTCCTACTGCTCCAGTCTCTTACAGCTTTGATCATTACATAATAATGGCTGAAAGAACTACTTATATTTTTCTGGTTTTTAAGATTCTTGATAAAGCCTCAAAAAAGGCTAGATGAAAAATTACCTGACAGAATGTATAATGCAGTAATGGACTAGTCATTGACTAGGAGACAAAAAAAAGAATATGTAAATAATCTCATAGTACACAAAAAAAGGACCAATGTATAATTCTTATAGAAAAGACACAATATTTGAAGAAACGACCTGAGAAAAAAAACAAACTATTTGTTCCATTGGCCAAACCTAGACAGAAGAGAACAAATTAAAGTATTCCCAAATCCAGAAATCAATAATTGCAGAAATAAGTAACTTTTGACAAGTATCAGTAATATGTTACAAAGAGTATGTCACAGAAAGCTTGGAACTATTCATTCACATTGCTGTATTATTAAAGCTGCTAAAAAAAACTACCTTAGATTGCAAAGCATTTTTCCTAGTATTTGGTGCCTTTTGCACCAGCAGTTCAACTTTGTTAGATATTTGTCTTAAAAGGATTAGAAACATCACAGACTCTTCAAAAGCTATAAGCGCCCTCTGTGCTTTCACCATGTTATAATGCATTATTTTGCTTTAGATATGACTAAAAAAGTTCTTACTGGCAACTAATACCCAAGATTTCTCTGCAGCAGTTTTCCCACTGTTGCTGTTTTTTTCTGCTAATGGAGTTATCACATTACTGAAAAGGGTGAGAAATTTCCTATGTTTGTATTAACCTGTGTACAAAACAAAGGTTTAGTTAACAAAAAAAATAAATTTAAAAAATGGAGAAAACAATAACCAAGCAGAAACATTATACAAGTAAACAGTACTAAAGGAAATATAAGCATTTCATTCACCTAATAATTCAGGTTTGATGTGATTCAATTCAAGGTGATCAGCACTCAGAATGCTATGAGCTCTGGTCATGTTGCTCCATCTACATTTACAGAAGGTGTTCAGACACTAGTAACAGCCTATGTGACTGCTTATTTTGAAGAAAATGGACATAAAAAGGACCTTAAAACCCAACAACAAAGAATGACAACAAAAATACACTGAACATTCTTGCATATATAGTCTGTCTTATCTAGAGAAAGGGAACATGAATTTGTATTGGAAAAAAAAACCACTTTGGACAAAGAAATAAACTGTAATTAACTACATCAAAAAAATTGTACCTGACCGGGTTCAAGGTTTGAATTAGACATTCCCATAGCTAATGAGAACACCTATAAATACACTACATAAAATATAAATTATATAAAAGCTATAATCCTACATGCTCTTTGACATATGAAGTAATATGTAGTTGTTACTACACGCAAAGAATTCAGAAAAAAACATGTTCCTATTTGAACATACTGCTCAGTAACAATGTTAACTGATTTATTGATGATAACATGATTTACTGAAATGTGTTCTTAAAACTGCAGAATTCATCTCCAAAAATAAAATACAAAGACAATATATCCTAGCAATGGTTTCTCTATTTTCTACATGTTGTCAGTGCTTACCAGTAAGTCATGAAAGACATGCACCTATAGGATTACAAATATTGCTTCTTACATTCCTGTGCTCTTACAATCATCAGACACAGCTCTGAAGATGTAGGTTTATGCTGGGGTTTAAAACTCAGAAATACAGAGACATTTACTAGTTTCAGACATTTCCAGAATTACACAGGAAAATGAAGGAATGGGTCAGTTGTGTTTGTTCACATACTTAAAGCTGGATAAATCAACAACATGCTGAAATGTTAAGATTTATTACCAGTTGAGGCTGAACGCATTTGTTTCATGTGGGCTTCTATGACAGAAGGGTCTTTGGAACTGTAAGATCCAAGTTCAGGATAAAAGTTGGCCCCAATGTCCTCAGGAGGATTATGTCTTCCCTTTGGATAATTGTTCGCAATTTTGGGATCCCAATGTGGCAACAAGGGATGATTCCAGTGAATATATTTTCCATCAAACTGTGGATTACCAAACCAACTATAGTAGAATATGTGAAAGTTATAATTAGGAGAAGACAGCTCTTCTTCCAGCTTGTTTGCAGGAGGCATAGAAGCTTTCATAGTGTTGGCCGCAATACTATGCAAATTACTGACGTGTGTTACAGTATCTCCTTGAACCCTGTTTAGTGAATTCTGTTTATTTTCTAAGAGCACTGTCCGTTGTTGAAGCTCAGGCAACAAACCAAGTCCAAACGGATCCCCAAATCCAGCTCTGTCAGGTCTCAGAGTCTTCAAAGCCATCATTATGGAGCAAATAAACAAAATAAAAAGCAACAAAATAATGCATGTTCTTCTGCGAAATCTTGCCATGATGTCATAGTTCAGAATCCAAACAGAAGGATTTTGGCCACAACTGATCAAAAGACAAATAATTTAAAGTTAGATTTCTTATTACCTCATTTGACAGTATGAAATGCTTAATAAAGTTTCTACATAACATAAATAATATGGAGACAAATGTGACACACAGACTGCATAACTAATTGCCCTTTGCGGGCGGGGGGAACTAAAGGAGCCTGGGACAAAAAAACATTTCTGCAGTTTAGAATCTGTGTCAGGTTCTGAGGTTCTACCACCAAGGTCTCATATTTTATAAGACATTTTACTTTTGAACTTCACTGTTTTCCAAGCCCAAATAAATCCCATGAAATGGAAATTCTGGTTACATAATTTTAGAACTATCATGCTTCGACAAGTCTGATAGAAATAGCACAGAAAATAGAAGGAAAAACAGCAGAAACCGTGAAAGAAGAATAACACAGCAGAACAAGAGTGAAGTACAAAATGAAATATGACAGAATTACAGTTTCTGTTTAGAATAAAGGTTTCATGTACTTATTTTCTGGCTTTGAACCAACTCCTTTGTGTTTAGTTAACCAACACACTGACTAAATACCTTGGCAAAGTAAACTCAAACAGCATGTTTTGCAACTTTACAAATCTAAAACTCTTTGTTTTCTGACTTACATAAATAAAAAAACAGTATAGCATCAAGAATGTACCTCAACCAGACAGCTGGTAAGTTAGCTGCTGGCAGCCTGTTAGCATGTCACAGCTCTGTGACACTTCATGGAAGATTCCAGGACTAAGTTCAAAACAAGACCAATAGTACACAGCAAGATTTTAGCCCTGAAAGTAGGGTGAAGAAAATAAGTATAATGCAATGCCTGATTATTTATAACTTTAATTTCTGTTCAACATTAAATACAAGAGAGCCAGAGAAAAGGATTAATTAAATTTAGGTTACCATAGAATTATGTGGAACAAGATTATGCATAAAACTGACAAGACTTAAACTGGAAAATCTTAGAATAAACTTCTGATCCAACAGCCATTAGACACAGGATGGCTGTGATTTTTTATTTCTGTCACTAAGAAGTCCACATTTTAGAATCTCACTTAAATTTACTGAGACACACACAGGTGGTTTCAAAATACTTGGAAAGTATCTCACCCTAGTAACCCACCAACGTGCCTTACTACTGTTAAAGCGCTCTACTTGTTACTGCTGTGATTATTTTAGAGAACAAATTTTAGAATATAATTTTGAACAACACAGCCTGAATTGATTAGTAGTATGATACTGTCAAAAAGGAGAAATTCTATTTCCATTTCCAACCTTAATCCATTGATCCTGCTGTCTACCTTTGGGATTCATCTGTTTTTTACAGTAAGGTCAGTCATACACTTCAACAGCCAAACCTTGTTAACATCTCAAAAATAAAAAACCAAAAAGATCCCTGTGCTTGACATATCTGCTATTTTGATTACATCAAGAATTAACTATCATAAAGTGCTTTTCTGAAGCGTCAGGAATTGATCTGGGTGCTCCATATGCTTACTTAAACAAGTACTTTTTCAATGGAATATTTACCATGAAAATGCATTAAAAATTACCTCCATAACAACTAAAATTGGACTAGCATTAGGGCAGATGCTGGTTCACCAAAGCATATCATGAACCTCTGGTATGTTTACATAGAGGCTCCAGAGCAAGTGAGTAATACCTGTGGTAATGGTTTAAGTTTTGAGGAAACATTAGTCTCAATGACATAATTCAGCCCTAGCATAGATATACTATAAAAGCTGCACTAAAGAGCTTGTATTATGTCATTTAATCTTGCTCAGAGCTACTCTTTAGAACCAGTGACAAATTATGCTGGTTAGTGCTACTGCCACAGCAGAACACTAATACTGGAGAAACAAACTGAGGAAACATGCCACATGAAACAGCTACCTGAAGTTATATCTGTCCTTGGAACTAGAAAAGTCTTAGAAGACATTTCTGAACCAACAGCCTTTAGCGATACCACAGCTGTGATTTTGTATTTCTGTCATGGACATCCAAATTTATAATCTGACTTCAATTTACTCAGATACACAGGTCAGTCCTACATACTTGGGAATTATTTTGCCTTGGACTGCTGTGTGCATTTGCATCTAACAGCAATTCCCTTTCTCAGTAGGAAAAAATCAGCAGTTTAAGATCTCATAGGCAGACAGTTACTCTAACTCAGATGACTTATTAACTAGTAGCAGCTTTTGGACTCTAACCTCAAGGTTGTGGACCCATGTTGGAATACCAGCCAAAAATGTAAGCAGTTCAAGCTCTTGCATAGTAAATTCATTTTAAAAGAATTAAAAAATCTGTCTATAACAGGTCAGAAGAACAGATGAGTTAAAGTCACCAGTCTCTGCCTATTGGCAAAAAAAAAAGGTCCAATGCTTTGCCAGAACAGTTAGGCATCTGCAGCTATTTGTGGATCAGATACTTCTTGCACAAAAGGACACTTATTTGTACAACATGAAAAAACACCTTATGTTTAGAAATTCATCTGCAGGTTAATTTGATGCTCCTACTTCTAAAATTAGAAGGGTGAGTAAGCAAGCATTTGTTTACATTTATTTATTGCTATTTACATTTTCTACTGCACTAATGATGTAATTGATTCTATTAGGTTTTCTTGAGTTTTCCTTCAGATAATTTTCTAGTCTATATATTGTATCACTGTAAGTGGATACATTTAAATATTTTCCAGGTGTTTCTTTTCTGTCCTGTTTCAGCTCCACTACATCCTTTCTGAGATTAAGGGAACACATTTGAATACAGTGTGATTTTCATCATGCATCTTGGACTTAACATTTCACATCTAATGCATGCAACTTGACTACAGAATTATCATCCCTAAATCTAGTTCCTGAGTGGTAAAAATAAGCTCAGAGATCATTACTGTGAAATTAAAATTTTCTCTACTCTGTGTATTTCACTACCTATTTTTCAAATCATAAAATAATAGAAACATAGAATGGTCAAGTTTGGAAGGGACCTTAAAGATCATCAGGTTCCAACCTCCCTACTATGAGCAGGGACACCTCCCACCAGACCAGGCTGCACAAGCCTCATCCAACCTGGCCTTGAACTCTTCCAGGGAGGGGGCTTCCACAACCTCCCTGGGCAACAATAGCCTTACTACTCTCATGGTGAAGAATTTCTTCCTGATGTCTAACCAAAATCTCCCCTCTTTCAGTTTAAAACCATTACCCCTTGTCCTATCACTGTCTTCTCTGACAAAAAGCCCCTCTCCAGCTTTCCTGTAGGCCTCTTCAAGTACTGGAAGACCACTATAAGGTCTCCTCAGAGCCTTAAGGCCAAACAGCCACAACTTCCTCAGCCTGTCTTTGTAGGAGAGGTGGGTACTCCAGCCCTTTGATCATCTTCATGGCCCTTTTCTGAACCCTCATTTTATTTAAAAAATAAATTTAACTTTTTTTTTTTTTTTTTTAAAATCACTCAGTCACTCCATACTTCAATGTTCTTTGGCAATTCTTCCACTGACAGGTGTCTGAAGAAGTCAGGATCTTCAGTTAACTTTGTCAATGTACTCTTCACTACCACACGATTTTCAAACTAATGAATTGTTACCCTCAGGTCCAGATGGAAAGCACAGAAGTCAATTGATGTCTTTTGATTTTTCCTTTTATGATTACAGATACTACGACTTCCTTCATTACACATCAGAGAAACATGAAGCTTCACCATAAGAGGGGTAGAATTCCATAGCATTCAGTCTCCAAAAAAAATCTTATGCATTTATGCATATTATACGTATTTATCCTACATTACTATTTCTGTTCCAAATTAATTTGTTACACAGGAATAAGTAGTATAGAACTCATCACAGTACAAAAATTCCAGTTTTTCTTCTTAAAACAACGAATACTTAAAAACAAAAACAAACAAAAAAAGGGGGTGGGGGTGGATCTTCCGTGTAATAAGCTTAAGTGTTTTCTAAACTCTCCCTCAAACTCACAGCAAACCTGTCTGGAGAACAGAAGGATAACAACCCCATCCACGCTCACACTTGGCAGTGATGTGGTTTCTTTTTCCTCTCTCGCTGCTGCTTTTTACACCCGAAGTTACGCTGCAGGCAAACCTGCTGCCTGCCCTTCCCACAG